TTGTTAAATCTTGTGTCTTCTTATTTACAGTACATAGTATTGTTAAATCTTGTGTCTTAATAATGGCTGGAGACGGCTTGAATGGGTAATGAAGAAAAACTTTAATATAAGTTTAACATAACAGCAAATGTACAACGTTTCGACAAGGTTTTGTCATCATCAGGTACAAGTAATTTACACAGACACGGATATATATATACAGATTGAACAAAGAAGTCACATGACCGGAACTGTTGTGAACCTTAGAAGAGGTATCTAGGCACCCCGGGGCGTTGGTTTAGAGTAGGGTTGTTTTGTTCAATTAAGATGGATTCCTTGATTTTTCGTTTGTTTATGTTGGGTTCTTTGTTTTAAATGACTGTGTTTTTAATAGATATACTATGGTTTTTTGAGCTGCAATGGTGAAAAACGTGGGACGGAACACAATAAAAAACCGTACCTGACAGATAAAATCTGAGACATAGTATAGTTTTAGATTTTTATTATCACCAAAATTGTCTATTTGATGGAGAAAAGAAATGTGGTATTGATCTGTTCTTTAAGAACACATCACTGTGCTAGACCTGTTTTGAAGAATTCCACCCTTTTTCATTAATCTGCCAGTGAAAACTAAAGAGTAAGGCCAAGCTTATAGTGTTGAATTATATTTGAGTGTTGTATAGTGGTATTGAATGGTAATCACACTTCATAAGAACAATGTTGCAAGTTTCATGCTTCCCTTGTCCATAGTCAGTCATATTCAGTCTGATGATCATGATTATGTGCTATTTATTACCTGACACTGTAATTTCCATTGTAACCACACAGTTTGACACAACATTGAATGTGTGTGGATATTTGCTTCTAAGACCACCTCATAGTATATCAAAGACACTAAAGAAGTTCATTTGAGCTGCATTGAGAGGCTGACAGGAATGTATTCAAATGTGATTCAGTTGCTGTTGTTACAGTTTTCTTGGTCATCCTCCACATGAAATGATTTGAGGTATAACTGGATGTATGTAAATGTAGGGCTTGTTAACTCTGTCATCTTCAAATCTTTACTTATTATCTTTTAATGGTATCAGGAAATATTCCAAGCTTCTTTGCAATGATGTTTTTGGATTGAAGGATTCTATAACTATAGCCTTCATTTTGCAGAAAAGAGTGTTGCTCTGCATTTGCATGAAGGTATGGTTTCAGAGCCTGTTGCTACCTATTTTACTGGGTTTTTTTCTTGCTTTGAAACAGAACATTGAAACAATGTATGAGAATGTTCTGTCCTTTGATTTTATAACTTTTAGTAGTCTCTCCAATTATGTAAACTTCATCTAAAAGGGTTGTAACATGTCCATACAACTGTAAGCCTTCCTTGGCATCATTTCACTGAGAATGTCAGGTTTTTATATATTTGTGGACCAGATTCTTTACAGTGGGTGTCTGTGACTTGTTGGCAATAAATTTCAATAACAAACAAACAGCACACAGTCCACTTGTTTTAAAATAATATATTGAAACAAGTTAAATGTATATACAAATATTTGTTACACAGTTAATTACCACAGTTGGATCCAGAGCTTTTAAATGATCGTCTCTTTTCACCAAAGTCCACACAGGCTGGTTCAATTACATTAGAACACAACTGACAAGACGATTTATTCTTCTATACTCTATTATTACAATACAGTTGCTGGTAATTTCACTTAGGTTACACTGTTGGTTCCCTCAGTTGTATTTGGAGTTTTAAGTAATTGTCTCTTTTCGTCAAAGTCCACACAGGTTAGTTCAGTTACTTTAGAACACAATTGACAAGACAAATTATTTCTTCTCCACTCTGTTAATACAATCTGTGATAATTTCACTTTAGAAATCACCACTATGCACCCTTTATGGCTATACACACAATCACTCAGTCTAGATTTATATATCTATCTAACTAACTGTGTCTAACTCGACCTACATTTTGTCACATATTTATAGCCTGACTGAGGCTTAAAACATTCTACTGGCTATGAGATATTATTGTTATGTCTCCGTTCGTTAGTTAATTTTCCGTAAAAATTCTTTCCGAAGAAACTTTACCGATACAAGTCCTTTCTTAAATAAAACTGGTTTATTCTTTCTGAATACAACTTTGCGATACACTTAATTTCAACAGTCGCGCTATAACAAACGATATAATTCTCAACCAAAGTCTCACGTGCTCGACTCAACAATACTCAGTTCAATTACACATATTGTTGCCGTCACTTTGTGACCGTCTTATATATACAAGAATACCGAATCTAGTAAGCTCTCGAGAAGTCAGGAAGGGACGTGAACGTTCGAGAAGTGCATGACGTGTTACTAGAGTCACGTGATCTTCGCTGTCGTAACATTATGATGCAATAATACTCAATCAGAACAACAAGAAAAACTTAGAAGGTTCTTGTAACATGATACAATAATACAATGAGTGCCAATTCACAACAATGTAACTGCACAACATATGATTGTTACACAGTTATGTAGACAGGCCTGCAATAAACTGTTGCTTCTAAACATAACTAAATTTAACAATGACTCACATCGAACTTCAAGTGAAACAGTCGTGTATATCTAACAAAATGATTTGGGAATGACAACAATGCAACTAAGTAGGTACTAAACATGTTGGCTGTATAATGGCTGGAGACGGCTTAAATGGGTAATGAAGAAAATATTACCTTTGAACCCAGCTGTTTCTTTCTTCCTCTGAGCTACAGGAGTAATGACGAATCATACCCTCTCTAGAACTCAATTCAAAGCAGTGTTCTTGTCCACAGTAATGTCCTGAAAGTGGTTTAACATCACACTGAGAGAGATCAATATCAGAGATTACACCAGGATTATAGAGAAGTAAAGACTCGTGAGACCTTGAAGTACGAAGTCCAGATGGTGGAATACTGAAAAAAAACAACTAATTATTGTAATGGAAACAATGTAGAAAATAATTTAGAAAATATTAAAAACTTAGATAAGAAAGCCTATTAAATGCAGAAAAACTTCACATAAACTTTTTTATTCAGATGTAATGAATCAGAAAGAATAATCCCAGGAATCAAATTTTTATGTACGATTTAACTAAATCACAATGCTGCTCTTAGGCTCTTGCTTTGTATTTTTATTCTGGTGGAATAGGCTAGGTCTGATTATATGAATATTTTGCTCATTTTACGATTTTCACCTGATAAATTAGTTTTCTG